AACTTGAAAGATTCCCAAAAAAATCCGTCGAGAAATACCGCCTAAATGAAATCCGCTATATGAGGGCTATGCCACGTCACGCATAAGTAATTTTGTAACGCGCTGTAGTACCGATTCCGAACTTCAAATATGAAATTTGAAACAATTTAGATTAATAATATCGCTAATATCATCAAAATATGGAATAAAGGGAGGTGCCCTTACAGGGTGAGATAAAAAAACTCCAACAAAGTCAAACGTCATAATTTTTACATTTTTTTGAATGAAATCAAAAAATGTCGGAAATAGTATCAAATATTAGAATAAGTTTAGATTTGTTCGAATTGGTCACTTTTGGCACGAATTATGGCCTTCAAACGGCCAATGAAACCGTCATACGCTGCCGAATGTAGCTCTGCGAAGCGCTTGGTTGAGGTGATCGACATTTTGATATTTTTTAGTGCCAACCTTTTTTTTCCAAAATACTCTCGACACAATAGTTCGACGGAGAGAGATTTTGGTGGCCATTGCGCGCTGGAAATGAAGGAAGGAGCCTCATTTTGTAACCATTCTTGGGTGGCGCGTGCTGAGTCCTGTTGGAGTGTCCAAGGTCTGCGGCAAAAATGTTTGTGTTCCCAAGGCTTTGATACACCCTCCAGAATATTCTCGCGATTCTGGACTGTCGATTAATACAAGCAAAGAGCGACCATCGGCTTTTATGGCGGCCCACATCATCATATATATAAAAATCAGAGATCTAGCCCTCTTCGAGTTCTCAACATAGTATATAGCATCTTTTAATACTTTCCGCTAATTTGCTCCTCCAAATCTGTTCCAGGTGCAGAATTCCACAGTTTCAGCTTCGATTTGAACATAGATAATAATTGATAGATTCCAATGTGGGCTCAAGTTTTTGTATAAATCTTATCCAATGTAACGATAGAATTTACTGCAAGTTTGTCTGATGCGTTTATGGATATGTTGGGCGCCATTGCTTTATATCAAAATTAATAGGGACTTTTAAGTCTTTCAAAGTAAGGAATGGAATTAAAAGTTGTAATTTTAATGTTTACCCCTCGTCCCTTTTGAAAGAAAACCTATTTCACACATAACTCATTTAGGGAGGTTAAGAATTAGTGATTTCGTCATATTTTAAGTAGAAGAACTCTATGGAGAATAAAAAAATTCGGCATGAATCAAATTAATGCCGTTTTTCATATTTTTGATATAGACACATTTGTCCATTTATTTCCCAACTTTTTAATCGTTCCTCGTATAAATGTACCATTTGTAATTACGATTTTCTTTTTTTCTTTGTTTTTTTTTTTCTTCATAGTAATAATATAATTTTTCACCCCACTTATGTGTTACGATCTGCACTGCCTTGTGGTCATTAATTTCAAATGAAAATTTTCACTTCATTATTTTTTTTTTGCTGCCACACATTTGCTCTTAGTAGTTTCTTTGTTTTGTGGTTAAATGAAGGTGAAATTATTTTGCTATTTTTATAACCAAAAAAATAGGAACATTCATACATATATGCTCTGAGATCATCAAGCACCGAATAGATGTAATTTGTTTTTCAAATCTACATATCTTAGAAGCGCAAAGAGCAGACAAATGGAAAGTTGAACTTTTGTGAGATATTAAAATGAAAGTTAGTACACCTTTCAGTTGGCATAGATTTAAGTTTTTTTTTTTTATTGGGCGCCATTTGCAAGCATGATTCATTCTTCTCCAATTTCTGTGGGGTGCTTTGCCCTTCCCAGAATAAAAATTGCTGTGGAAATTTAAATTAAATTAAAATTTTAATGTTTTGTGGGAATATATGTTTTGTGGAACCCCCAAATGCCAACCTATTTTAAAAAAATATTTTTCTAGACAGAAAGAGGAAGGATAACCCGATTTTGCTGCAACTTCTTATATTTGCATCAGGGCAAGGTTAGGTGTGAAAATTGGCACTATTGGTCCACACCTTCAAGTGCCTCCCCCACAAAGGGTCAAAATTTTGAATATCCATGAAGCTTATAAAGCGTGAAATTACCATCCGATTCCATTCAGGCTTGGCACACATCTCAATATTTCTATCAACACAAGATCTGTTATAAAGATGGTAGAGATCGGACCATTTCTTCTAATCCCTCCCCCACATATGGTTCAAGATTTTGGGAAACAAAACGCTCCACCAACACATCGAAATATTCGCCGGAGGCTGCAAAAAAATATATATTCCTGATTAGAATAAAGTTACAAATCAGTTTGGTGATGTCCGTCTGTCTGTCTGTCGTTCTGTTGAAATCGCTATAGTGTCAACATTGTGTAATTTAGAACTTTGAAATTTGAAACAAAAGTTTATTTTATATGCCTATATTGGTCTACGTTTAGGTATATCCTCCATATGACGGCACCTCCAAATTTTCGGTATTTTGAAACTCTTTGCCACTGTTTCAAACTAAATCTGCTGAAACTTGATAATTGGGGTTCTCGGTAGGTATGTTCTTTCCTTGCTACTTTACCCCTGAAAAATAATTGATATACACAGGGTGAGATGACAAAAATGCAACCAACTTCAGACTGCTGTCATATCTTAGCCACTCGCCCGACAGCTGTTAATTCCAGTGACAGCTCATTATATTGTTTACAAGCGTACAAAATCATTTTGGTGAGAATTTTCCAGACTCCAAAGAGCTAAATAGATGCTTCGCTTGGCCAAAAGTGGTGAACTGCCGAATGTGGTTTTCTCCGCTCCGATGAGAAAACATTTGTTGTCCAGCAGTTTGTAAATAAAAACAAAATGATCGTGTTTACTTGCCAAAGAGGTCAGCTGAAAATGTGCACCTTCCGTTGGCCACCAGACCTCAAGCGCAGGCCATGGTGATGGTGTTGGCCGCCATAGCAGCAGATGGTCGCTCTCCGCTTGTATTAATTGAATGTGCAATCAGAATAAATGTCGAATATTATCGCGAAAATATTCTGGAGGATGTAATAAAGCCTTGGGCACGCAAACATTTTGGCCGCAGACCTTCGACATTCCAACATCGCACTCAGCACGCGCCACACAAGAATGGTTACAAAATGAGGTTCCTCGCTTCATTTCCAGCGCACAATGGCCACCAAAATCTCCGGATACCAAGCCGTTGGACAATTGTGTCTGGAGTATTTTGGAAGGCAAGGTTGACACTAAATAATACCAAAGTGTCGATCGCTTCAAGCAAGCGCTTCGCCGGGAATGAGCCAAAATACCGCAGAGCAACATTCGGGCAACGTGTGACGGTTTCATTGGCCGTTTGAAGGCCATAATTCGTGCCGAAGGTGACCAATTCTAACAAATCTAAACTTATTCAAAAAATTTGATGCAATTTCCGACATTTTTTGCTTTCATTCAATAAAATTAAGAAAAAATAGTGCATTTGACTTTGTTGCAGTTTTTTATCTCACCCTGTACAGGTCCACGTTATCGTATAACCGCTATATAATGGTACCACCCAATGTTCGGTATTTTGATGATTTTAGCCACATTTTTCAATGGAATTTTTTGAAAATCCACAAAAGGAGTTCCCTCTGTGTACTTTAGCGCCTGGAAGAGAATTGTCCATATAGGGTTTTTTATTCACCGGAATTGTTACAAATTTAGTGTTTGAAGTTCGTAATGGATACAAGAGCCTATGACAAGTATTATTCACCGGAATTGTTTCAATTTTTGTGTGTTGAAGTTGGTAATGGATACTACAGCCTATGACAGAAAATTGTCTATGCAGTCCCACGCCTTCATATAGCCCACATATAACGGTATCTCCCGATATTCGGTATTTTGATGATTTTTGCGACATTATACACCAGAATTGTTTCAAATTATGTATTTAGAGTTCGTAATTAGAACTACAGTCAGTGACATAAAATTGTCTATACAGGTCCAGATTTTTGTGTAAGCCCCATACATTAGGTACAATACCCACCGAAATTGTTTGAATTGTCGTATTTGAAGTTCGAATTGTATGCTACAGCCCGATATAAGAGTACCTCCCTATATACCATATGTTGATGATTTTAGCTTTACCGTTTATTTCAAATTTCGAATTTAAATACGGTAATGGCTTATGACAATGACAATGCCTATGTAAGTCCACGTCGTATAGACCCCAATATAACGGCTATATTCGGTATTTTTGAAATTTTAACAGAATTTTTTAAGGATTTTATTTTTTGAAAATTTACAAATTTGTTCCAAATGGTGGAGGATATTCAAAGTTCGGCCTGGCCGAACTTACAGCTTTTTTACTTGTTTTTCTCTAGAATCTTTTCGTGGCTTAAAGACTGTTGGTCGTCTCTTCTATTGTAAAAGATACTCAATATTTAGCTAAAAATATAAAATCTGTCAAAACCCTCCATTATTTCCAAACTGTTTTCTTCACCACCTTCAATTGCACAAATTATGAGAAATTATTCACACTCCCTTTTAAACACAGTACATTGCAAAGAAAAAATTCATATAAATTCAAGCTAGACAGATTGACGACAGCCTGTGTTGCCCCATTCGCCAAAAAGTAGAAAAATACAAAAAAACTACAACAACAAAATTACGAAACAAATATGCAAATAAATGCGTCAGAGACCCCAAAAACGTTCCACAGAAAACAAATATCTGAAAATAAAATAAAAAAGGCGCACACACGTGACGGTTTATATTATGAATTTGTAGGGGAGTATGTACATACACATATGTATGTGTGTATATATATTCATTATATCATGCATAAATTTGTGGCTGAACGAACGACAGAACCTTATAAATGCAAAATACGATGTCAGTCAGTCACACATTTCATTTCGATTTTTTTTTTTCGAGGCAGAATCGTCAAACCAAAAAAGCGAATTATTATTTATGGCACACATCTTTTTTGCTGATGCAATATTTGTACTGATGCTTTGGGTGCGAATTACACAATTTATTTGAAATGTTAAATACAAATTATTAGGAATTTTTTTCTAATTATTTTTTTACATTTCTCCTCTCTTTCCAGTTGATGAGCTACCAAGAAAACAAAAGTTCAAAAGACTGACCTTATAAATATTGTATAGAATAAAAGCTAAACAAAGCAATCCCTGTTCTAAAGGACCTGCATCTGATCTCAGCTCTCCATAAAAGCAATATTTAAAATTTAGATAAAAGAAAAATCCTAAAGCTTTAAGGAAATCGCAGCAGAAAAAAAAAAAACAAAGTGATAACAAGCCGCCCTGTTGTAAGAAAAAGCTAAACAACACCACCACCACCATTTAAAGCTACATTAGGCTTTTAAAGCTCTCAGCACTCCCGCTCCGCTCGTATAATGTTGAGTAGTATTGCATCGTATCTATTTGGTTCGAATACTACTACTGCAACTAATCCGAATCCGAGTGACGCGAAATCGAACGAAAGTGACATCAAGGAGAACGTTGACAATCCAACTACCAAAGTCGATGTTGATAATCTCATAGAAGTGACGTCGCTGACGCCATCGGTAACAGGGGCAGCAGCAATTAGCAGCAGTGGCATAACTGCCACCAGCACCAACACTAATTCACGTGCCATACGTCGTGGCAAGAACAAGCGCAACAACACCCGTCAACAGAACAAACGCAAAGGTGGAGGAGGCGGAGCCGTCAGGAGTAATAGCACAAAGTCGACGGACAGTACAAAGTCATTGACAAAATCATCATCGTCGCGTAGCGATAGTTGTGACGAAGATTTCGACGAAGACGAGTGGTTCATTGTTGAAAAGGAGGGTGAGTTGAGGCGAAGAGATAATTGAAGCGTCTTTTTATTTAAGACCTCCAGGACCTTGAACAAGTTTCTTTAGGTAGAATTGTTCCGATATGCCTTCTCTTCTAATCCAACAGATCTTCTACGGATTGAAGACCTTTGACAGATATTTTATGGATGGAAGACCTCCAAGAGGTTTTCTAAGGATAAAAGAGCGCCGACAGGTCTTCTAGGGTTAGAAGACCTTTGAGAGCTCTTCTATGGCTATAAGACCTCCGACAGGTCTTCTAAAGTTACGGTTCTATGACTATAAGACCTTCGACAACTCTTCTATGACTAGAAGACCTTCGACAGCTCTTCTATGACTTGAAGACCTTCGACAGCCCTTCTATGACTAGAAGACCTTCGACAGCTCTTCTATGACTAAAAGACCTTCGATAGCTCTTCTATGACTAGAAGACCTCCGACAGCTCTTCTATGGTTAGAAGACCTTCGAAAGCTCTTCTACGACTAGAAGACCTTCGAAAGCTCTTCTACGAATAGAAGACCTTCGAAAGCTCTTCTATGACTAGAAGACCTCCGAGAGATCTTCTACGACTTAGAAGTCCTCCCAGAGGTCTTCTATGACTACAAGACCTTCGACAGCTCTTCTATGACTATAAAACTTTCGACAGCTCTTCTATGACTAGAAGACCTTCAACAGCTCTTCTATGACTAGAGGACCTCCGAGAGGTCTTCTATGACTAGAAGACCTTCGACAGCTCTTCTATGACTAGAAGACCTTCAGCAGCTCTTCTATGACTGAGGACCTCCGAGAGATCTTCTATGACTAGACGATCTTCGATAGCTCTTCTATTATAAGAAGACCTTCGATAGCTCTTCTATGACAAGAAGACCTTCGACAGCTCTTCTATGACTAGAAGACCTTCGACAGCTCTTCTATGAGTAGAAGATCTTCTACAGGCGTTCTATGACAAGAAGAACTCCGACAGATCTTCTACGACTAGAAGAACTCCGACAGGTCTTTAAGGGCTAGTAGACTCTGGCAAGTGTTCTTTGAAAAGAAGACCTCCGACAAGTCTTCTATGGCAAGAAACCCTCCAACAGGTCTTTTTGGATAGAATACATCCTACAAGTCTGCTACGGCTGGAAATCCTCCGTCAGAATTTCTATGGATAGAAGACTTTAGAAAGGTCTTCTACGGGCTAGAAGGCCATTGGAAGGTAATCTATGACTAGAAGACCTGCGACAGGTCGGATCTTCGACAGGTCTTCGTGACTAGGAATCTTCGACAGCTTGAAGACATCCATTAGGTCTTGCAGTGATAGATAACGTCCGACAAGTCTTCTATGGCCAGAAGACCACCCGCAGGTCTTTTATGAATGGAAGTCCACCGACAGGTCTTCTAGGACAAAGTTCCTCTTGAGGTCTCTTTTTATTATTTTTCTTCCATTTCTTCTTCTTTTTTCTTCCACTATGAAATGTATCTAATATTGCATCTCTTCCTCTTTTCAGACGACGACGAAGACGTCTCTCAATCTCGCAACGGCAGCGAAAAAGCAACAAGCGAACCAACCCTCGTGGTCGTCAAATCGGTCAAACAGCCTACCATAGCACCCAGCCCATTGGCGCAGCAGCGTCGCCAACAACATATCAATTCGCATTCCCTCTACAGTGGACCAAGGCCACAGAAACAACGCAATCACTTGCAAAAATCCCGCACTAACAACAACAACAGTCCCCGCAACAGCGGTCTAAGCGTCTCAACATTAAGCCCCTCCCGCACAGTAAACGAAAGCCGCAATGGCAAAAACACCGGGATAACAGCTGATGTCGCCGGTGGCATTAGCCGTTCACTGTATGTGGTCCCGAGTAGTGCCCCCGTGGCCGTTGCCGATAAGGGCGGCAAGGTGGCCATGCCGGTGAATGGAATTGGAATTGGCAAGAATATGGACGAATCATGGTTCGTAACACCACCACCATGTTTCACCTCCATTGGACCCATCAATATGGAAGCTTCACCCTATGAGAACCTATTGATTGAGCATCCAAGGTGGGTGAAATGACATGGTGTAGAAGCAGATGTTATTGAATAGCAATAAAGACAACAATAATATACAGCGTATTTGTATTAGTGTTAGTAACGAATGTGATTTCTCTAACATTTTAGCATGTCGGTGTACCATAGTATTAGATCGGTTCAGGATACGGCTGAAAGTTATATTGAATTTGATCTCGACGATGTCAAGAAGACAAAGAAGGACAAAAAGACGGCCAACAACAAGGAGAATGTCCAGCGCAAGGTAAGTGCAATGGTGTTTGAGGGTCTATGGAAAGAGTAGTAACATATCTTCAATTTTATTTCAGAACTCCCAGGCTGTCCAACAGCGATCATCGGCTGGTTTCCGTTTGGATCGCCAAAGTGTTGCTCAATTGAAGCAGGAATTAATGGCTCGTACCGCACAAAAGGTAATTAGAGGAACTATGAAAATACTGCACTGAGGGATTTAACAAAAAATAGCCTCTTATAATGGCGTTTTAAAATGGGTTTGGAGTTTATAGTGAAAAAGTCGAGAAAAAATGTATCAAAAAATTAGAAAAAAAATTTTTTTTAGCAAAATTCATACAAATATTTTCCTGATATACAGGGTGAGATAAAAAACTGCAACAAAGTCAAATGCCATAATTTTTACTTTTTTTTAATTTTATTGAATTAAAGCAAAAATTTCGGAAATACCATCAAATTTTAGAATAAGTTTAGATTTCTTCGAATTGATCACCCTTGCCACGAATTATGGCCTTCAAAAGCCAATGAAACGAGTGGTTTATTGTTGAAAAGGAGGGTGAGTTGGGAGGAAGAGATAATTGTAGCGTTTTTTATTTAAGATTAGGTTAAAGATCTTGAGGGCCTTGAAAACGTTTCTTTAGATAGAATAGTTCCGATCTGCCTTCTCTTGTGAGATGAACTCCAACAGATCTTCTATGGCTTGAAGACTTTCGACAGGTCTTCTGGGGTTAGAAGACCTTCGATAGCTCTAATTAGAAGACCTTCGACAACTCTTCTATGACTCGAAGACCTTCGACAGCTCTTCTATGACTAGAAGAACTCCGAGGGGTCTTCTATGACAAGAAGATCTTCTACAGTTTTTCTATGACTAAAAGAACTCCGACTGGTTTTCTATGACAAAAGAACTCCGACAGGTCTTCTATGACTAGAAAACCTCCGACAGGTATTTCATAGAAATATTTTCTTGATATACAGGATGAGATAAAAAACTGCAACAAAATCAAACGCCATCATTTTGACAATTTTTGTTTAAATTTTATTTTAATTAAAGCAAAAATGTCCGAAATAACATCAAATTTTAGAATAAGTTTAGTTTACTTTGGCACGAATGTTGCTCTGCTGTATTTTGGTCTAATCCCGGCGAAGTGCTTGCTTGATGTGATCTCCACTTTGGTATTTTTTAGTGTCAACCTTGCTTTCTAAAATACTCCCGACACAATAGTCCAACGGATTGGTATCCGGAGATTTTGGCGGTGCACTGGAAATGAAGCGAGGAACCTCATTTTGTAACCACTTTTGGGTAGGATGGTGGTGAGTCCTGTTGAAATGTCCGAGGTCTACGGCCAAAATGTTTGCGTGCCCAAGGCTTCAATATACCCTCCAGAATAATTTTGCATTAATATTTGGCATTTATTCTGATGCCACGGTCGATTAATGCGAGCGGAGAGCGACATCGGTCGTCATAACGGCCCACACCATTACCATGGCCGGCTCTTGAGTTCTGGTGGCCAACCGAAGGTTCACATTTTCAGCTGACCTCTTTGGCAAGTAAAACCGATCATTTTGTTTGTTTACAAACTGCTGGACAACGAATGTTTTCTCAGTGGGAACCAAATTCGGCAGTTTACCACTTTTGGCCAAGCGAATCAACTCTTTAGCTCTTATGAGTCTATTTTCTTTCTGTGCGGTGTAATTCTTCAACTTTTTGGAATTTCAGCTCATTTTACAATATTTGCCGAATGGAATATTGCGATATGTTCAGCTTACGAGTCATTTTTCGGCCACTGCGACGATCAAGTCGCTTCTTTACTTTTCGAACCATTTCTGCTGATGTTGCTGTTTTCTTCCGTCCACTTCCCTTGATGTCGGGCTATGCTACCAGTACCACGGTAACGAGCGATGTTACGAGACACAAAAGATTTATTCACACTTAAATGCTGGAGTGCTCTAACGACAGCCACTTGTGGTTTTCCAGCCAAATATAAAGAAATCACACTATCACGCTTGAATTCCATCACGAATAACTTTTTTTCTCGAAATTTCTCAACAAAATGCTTTTGAACGCTTGTAAACAATAGAATGAGCTGTCACTGGAATAATTTAAACAGTTGTCGGACGAGTGGCTTAAAAATGACAGCAGTCTGAAGTTGGTTGCAATTTTTTCATCTCACCCTGTATATGATTTCTTGGCGTTTAAATAAGATCTGGACTCTTGATGTCTTCTGAGACCTATAGTTTAATTTTATGGCAAATAACATTTTAGAATATATTGATAGGCTATGACCACGTTTTAGAGGAGTTTTTAAGCATATTTTGAAAAAAAGGACCAAAACGACCCCTTTGGTGACTAGCTTAAGGGTTAAAATGTTCGACCAAAATAACCCTCGTATTGTTATCTGCATTACTGCCGAAGACACTATATACCCCAATGGCACGGATTCGAAAGAATCGTTATCCGAAGTTATTAAAAAGTATGTGGTAGAGAGGGGAAACGACCCCTTTGGTGACTAGCTTCAGGGTTAAAATATTCGACCAAAATTATCCTCGTATTATTATCTGCAATACTGCCGAAGACACTATATACCCCAATGGCACGGATTCGAAAGAATTGTTATCCGAAGTTATTAAAAATTATGTGGAAGTTAGGGGAACTTGTCGCTTCCTCTATTTAGGTTATTTTCTATTGTAGACCGCGAATACAGCGATTTTTGTATTTTCTATTTTTAGCTCTACTTTCATAATATTCCAGTAATTATTAAAAAAAAAAATAATAATAATTTTGTTCCTACTTAATATTCTTCTACTAATGTTTGGTTTTCTCTTTTTTGCAGACCCAATCCAAGAAGGAGCGCAAGGAAATTTGTCGTTCGGCCATTAAACGCGCCAACAAGGTGCGTGATGTTCAATCGAAAAATCATACTTCCCGTCGTGCCGACAGGCAATACTTCAAGGTTGTCAGTGGCGCCAACAACAACCGCAATTCTCACTACTAAATCAACAATGTTTCGGAACAGAACAGAATGGCAAATCTTAAAAGGGGATATGATTTTAACTTCGAGAAAATAAAGAAATAACAAATCTTCTTTATTTTCACAACAAAAGAGAAAAGAAAAAAGGAAAAATAAACACCATGAATACAAAAACACAAAAACAATCATTAAAAAAAATAAACTAAACAATTCTTATAAGATTTTAATTAAAAAAGAGAAAATAACAACAAAAAAAAAAAAACATTACAAAACCCAATACAAAAATCTGAACAAAAAAAAAAAAAACAATAAAAGTTAACTGGATAATTTTTTGTGAGCTATTGAAGGAGAATATTGTAGTACATTTTGCAGTACATGTGTATTTTTAAAAGGATAAACAGAATAAGAAAACTAAAAAAGGAAAACTCCAAAAAAGAAAAAAAAAAACAAATTTAAAAATCTCCCAAAAATCCAACAAAAAAATAATAAAGATATGGTAGTTTTTAATAATAACGTTCTCACAAATCAACAAAACACATAAATGAATGCATAATATATTATATTAAATATATAAATAAGTACATATTTTTCCAATTTTAATCCAAGTTTTAATCTTAGAATTATACAATTTGAAAACAGCAACAACATCATGATGATGAAGCAGTGTATAAATAAGAGAGATAAATGATTTGTAATAGTAACACTTTTTTTAAATGGATTGTAAAGTTTTTTTTTTTTATTTTATTTTATTAATAATTTATTGTTTTTTGTAATATTATTAGTTTGTTTTTTAATTTAAATTTAATGTGTATTATGTATTATTATTTTTAATGATCTTGTTTGAGTTTTTATTTAAATTTCTTGGAAAATGATTTGTACTTGAAGAATGTATGAAAATGATTGTGAGAAAATGTGAAAACAAAATAAAAATGAAATAAATATTTTAATGTTTAATGAGAGAATACTGAAAGAGAAATTGTTTTACTACATACAATTGGAGATATATTTAATTTGGTTCATTATGTAGTAGGTCATAGATTGACCTTGGTATAGTTTTAAACTGCTGGGAACTATGCATCTTGTCACGGACATGCGGACATTGTAAAAATGTTTTTATACCCTAGAACACTATGTGTTGAGGGAATAATAAGTTTGATTGAGCTAGAAATTATGTAACACCCTGAAATATTGGTCCAAGACATACGAAAATATATATGGATGTTCCTATCTCCCTATGATCGCCAAATATTTAAGGGTTGAAATGGACTAACAACTGGAAATTTATTTGACACTACATTTGCGCTACAGTTTACAATTAAAGACCAATAGCTCCGAAATTTTGCATGAGATTAGGGCTTAGGACAGGTTAGAAGCCTACTATTTGTAATGAGCATCGGATTATATTTAGCTTGTAAAATGGCCCACAACTTTGTCCTAAACTCTAACTTCATGCCAGATGTCGTGTCCTTTGGTTTCTATTTGTGACCTTTGTAACGGCTGCAAAATCAGGAACATTTTTAGTTGTTGGTCCATTTCAACTCCTAAATATATTGCGTACATCTTTGAAAACAATAGACCTAGCCCTTCTGAGCCTAACCCTACCCTTATGAAAATGTTCGTGAGGATCGGACGATAATTGCAATCTGTATATAATAATCCCAACGTGTGTTGAAAGGTGAAAAATATAACAAATTACACACTTCAATATTATAAGTCAAATTGAAAAAATCGCATCCGATAAAAATATGAAAAAATAGAAAAATGTCACAAAATACTACAAAATCAATATTTAAATCTTTATAGGCGTCTTTCTATGCGATTTTTTTTAGATTTTATACTTTTATGCCAAGAGGGCATTCTGAATTAGTACAGCCATTCTTGAGATATAAGCATTCTAGCTAACATCCCCTTCCTAAATATTTATATTTGATATATTTACTATCGACGTCTACGTAACGGTCAGGTTTGACTTGTTCGTCTATTTGCGATTTCGCCGGGATTAAAAATATTTGCGGTTTAATGGACAATTTCACTTTTATTTAACACAAATGTTATGGTCTATTTCACTCACTAAATGTTACTCGATGACCATACAAATTGGAAGGCTTTTGCACTAAGCTCTAGACTAAATTCCGCATCGATTTGTCTATAATTGTGACCTGTAGAGCAACTGCTATTGTGCGATTATCTCCAAAGGCAATAGGCTTCTATTCTGGCCCTAGCCCCTCCTCCATTTCAAATTTTGAAGATCGGGCCATAATTGGGATCTGTAGAGTGATTACAAATTAACATGGACAGACGGACGGACTCAGCTCGACGAGATAGGAAGATCCATATATACTTAGTGTTGTAGGGTATAAACAGTAAAATAAGGCCAAAGTCGAGCTGGGCCGACTTTATAATACCCTACACACATTTGTATATGGCAGGCTTCTATCGTATTCTACTAAATTTGACGGATGCATTTGTGTCTTAACCGATATTAATCAAAATCCATTTTATTTGACCTGATATTCAACTTAGATGAAGATGTATATGGGAGCTATATACCAATCTGAACCGATCTCTATTAAAAATAGCAAAGGTATTTCTATGCTGTATCTGATAGTTGGCACCGAATATCTTTGTTGTGGAGAGTATTTTACGGGTGTAAGGAAGTAAAAGACAAAATCGAAAGAAACATAACCTATAACCGTATCTTAACCGATTTTCCCCAAAACTTATACATTTTCTTTCAGGTTGAGTTCGTTTGTATGTGCCAAAATCCATTCAATTCGGGCTTATATTGGGCATCTGGTGCACAATAAACTTGAAATCGAGTAATGATATATATGGGAGCTATATCCAAATCTGAACCGATCTTGATAAAATTTGGCAAAAGTATTTTTGAGCTGTATTTGATATATTTGTTGTTACTGAGTGCATATTACGGATGTGGAGGAGAAATGTAACAAATCGGATGAAGAATATATATGAGACCGATTATCTACGAGGGTTCGACCTGTACTGTGTTTACAAAAATACATGGACAGACGGACGGACAAAAATCCATAAATCGACTCAGAATGTGATGCTATGAAGATTATTAAAAGGAACTGTGGGTCTAATTCTCTTCGTTATCTCTCAGCGTGGTGATGACAGATGTTACCATTTAACTGTTAGAGAACAACTTCGAATACAACTAGGTGACTGGTCTTGATCAGCATAAATTCTACGTCGATCGTGGAAATCGCCATAGCTTCCGAACGAAATGGAGTATGTCTGTAAAATTTTACTCTGTTAGGTAAGCAGGACTTTTTGTATTGAAAATGGGCTATAAAGGTCCCAACGACATTAATCAACTTCAATTTTTTTAATATTTCAAGTTTCGTATTTGAATATCGTTATGGCCTATGACAAAAATTGCATATACAAGTCCAAGTCTTCGTATAGGCTCCAATAAAACGGTAACTCCCTATATATATTCGCTATTTTGTATGATTTTAGCAATAATTGTCAACGGTTATTTTTGAAAATATGCAAATTCCTTCTAAATGGTGGAGAAAATTCAAAGTTCAGGCCGGGGGTCAATTTGAAAAAATTTAACACGGAATTATTTGTCACGAAATTGTATTAGAGGTCTCAGAATACATCAAAACTTTATATCTTAGGTCTCAGAATACATCAAAACTTTATATCTTACAGAAGCGCAAGAAATGTGAGTTTTTATAACCTTAGCCATATGGCTAGAGAGGGAATATATAATTTGATACGGTAAAACGTGCCTCATCGAAATAACGGTTTTAGACCCTAGGTCTCTTTGGACCAAATCCGTTTCAGGACATTTGGAGTAGATCTAGCGATGTCCGTTCGTCTGTCTGGCTCGCACGATAATTCTCGAAGAGAGTATCAGATTTGATCCAAACTTGGTATATCGTAATATTTTTGTCAAACTAAGATCGAGTTCGGAGATGGTCAACATCGGTCCACTCCCCCGATCCGCTCCCCCACAAATCAGTACCTCTCCCACAAAGGATCAACATTTTTTGAATAATTATAACTTCTATAAAATGTGATGTAAGAATCCGATTGTTTTAAAATTTCACACATCCCAATCTTTTTATAAACTCAAGATCTGGTGTTAAGATGGAATATATCGGTCATCCTTCACCTTCTGGTAACTCCCCCACAAAAGGTCGAAATTTGGATATCCATTAAGCTCGTAAAACGTGAAATTAACATCCGCTTCCATTTAGACTTGACACACCTGAATATTTTCATGAACACAGGATCTGTTATAAAAACGATAGCGATCGGACTATTCCTTCTGATCCCTCCCCTACAATGGGTAAAAATTTTGAATATCCATGAAGGTCATAAAACGCGAAATTAACATCAGGTTCTCTTTATAAACAAGATCTGAGATCCAAAGGCTCAACATTTTGAATTTACATGGAGCTCATAAAAAGCGAAATTACAATCGGATAATACAAGATCTGTTATAAAGATGGTAGAGATCAGACCATTTCTTTTGCTCCCTGCCCCACAAAGGGTTCAAGATTTTGAAAAACAAAAGGCTCACCCACAAAGGGTCACAATTTTCAATACTTTTATCTGCCATAACTTTTTCAATATTCTCTCAAATTTACGATATATTCTATATAAAGTGAAGGAAGTAGCCAATTGGATTAATGTTTATGGTGTTACAGGCACACGAAGAGACGAACATCAACCTGACCGACTGTAAAAATAGGATAGGATGAAAGATTTGAAAAAAGGACAACAATTAATTGCATTCTCCAGAAACCACTGGACCGATAATAAGAAAAAATTAAAATATTTCTATCTATTCATTGCTGACTTTTATCCATGATCAAAATGATTTCCGAACCCTATGCGCCGGTGTAATGAAGTGAATAATGTACAAATTCAAAAAATGTTAATACCACTTGTAATCACAATTATTGTATAATACAGGCGATTACAGGAATTCATAGTTCATTACGGGTGGGACAGGCTTTATGGAAATTATTTGCTACCATTAAATGGCAAATCGCTGGCATAAATCTGGTTGTTGTCCTTTTTTCGTTGCGATGTCCTTGAGCTTATTTTTTTTTTTTTAAATACTGGCTGCAATTATGGCCGGAGTCAATTGAATAAAAGAACGAAAGAAAGCCCAGGCCGAAGACGAAAGTAAATAATCTGATGTGATTCGTTGTGTGTGTGTGTGTGTGAGCGTGAGCGTTCTTTTTGAGTTTTAATAAAGCATAAAGAAATCCCACATTTTATGACTTCCTTTGCAGAACATTAACATTAAATCTTTTCAGCTGACATTTTATTGGCATCTTCCTCATTCGGGGAATCCAATAATTCTTCGAACATGGATGGCTGCGGTGATATGACTGTCTCTCTGTTTGTCTGTTTGTCTCATTGCCGTTGTTGATGGTAATCTAAGGTGGCAGTATAGTAGTAAATATTTGTTGGCGTTTGAAAAACTTTTCTAACGCTGGCGCTGGGCTTTTCACGTCGATATCATCACTCGCTGGTTACTCAGCCAGGGCAGCAATTTATTTATTTGATTTTATTGTTTTCTTTGCTGGCTACCAAAGAAAATTCGTGGTTAGGTTGGCAACGGCCAGAGGGGGCAATGTATCTATATACAATAACAACCAGATGGGTGGACGGACAGACAGACGGACGGACGGAAGTGTATCTTTATGAATCTTGTGGTGATTCCTATGAATACTCAGCCAACCAACCAACCAACCAACCAATCGCAAGTAATAAAACAACAATACGGAACCGTTGTCAATGCCTTTTTACCACATTTCCTTCCCTTTTCATGTTGGCTGTTGGCAGTTCTGTTCATTCATTCGCTTACTCGCACGCTGGCTTACTTAACTTTAATCTGCCATCATTGAATCCACATTTATATGGGTAGTCTTTCTCATTTTTCTTCATTCTTTGCTTTTTTTTTGTTATTTTGATTTGTAAACT